CTCTATTGTTCAGGGTCCCCAATTGAATACAGACACAAACTCACCGCATGTGCATTTATGGGGACAAAAAAATGTTAGAAGAATATTTTTTACCCACAATGCACTTCCAACCTTCCATCAAGGTACATGTACATGTACATGTAAAGCATCAATAGAAATTGTTTCACAGAGCCTAAGCTCTCTTTATCAAAAAGAAGAGGTTAAAAGAGGCTAAATCTTTTGTCTTTTTAGAGATTGATCATAAAGTTGCCAGAGGGATGACGAGAAACAAGACTTTTTTTGGCCAGTGGGACTTTCTGGGCAAATATGCCAACGCTTGGCATAATCCATAGGCAATCAAGAAGGTTTGATGTGGGTAAGTTCATTAGGGAAATGAGAGGCAGTATGATTAAGGGTACCGACGAGATCAATTCTAAAAACTCATCCAAATTATCTTTTTCAAATCCGTAGGCTGGAACCCAAAGTGACCCCGATGAAGGATTCCAAGCATCAAAAGGCCCACTCTCTTAATTCCATCCCAGTGAAATTCTCCCACTTTGACACACTATAAACGAGATTGAGATTTCACACCAATTTCAACAAGAAATGGCAACTTCCCATCCCATGTTTAATCTAAGTAAATTTAAAGCCGTTTCTGCCCAAACTTGTCCTATCTCTCGTTTCAAGCTTAGAAAGTACATGTATGAGAGCATGTTATGTTCTTGATGAAGTCCTGCTGCTCAACAATGTCTCAAGTCACGTACCACCTGTCCGTGAGCGTTGTGCAACAGAAGTCATGGCCTCTTATAATGCTGGTCGTCAAATTACACAACTTGTTTAATAAACTTAATCACATTTACATGTAACCATGGTAACAGGGGTGTTAACATTTGAAAAAAGGGAGAGTTGATGCACATGTACATGTAGATAAGCGGACTGTGTAAGTTCCCTCAATTTTGTTCTAAAATTTGAATGATTTCTGGCTTTCATAAATTCACTAATAATGCGAGAATTGGGTCAGACTGACCCAGGATCTGAAAGTGGATTTACCTTTACTTGACCCTTCTCTGGGTCATAAAAACAGTTCTCTAGATCTACATCTAGCAAACCAGATTCAGACTGCAGCAAAATCCGAATCCAGATGTGCTCGGCATTTGTGTCCGTCAAGAATGCACTTTTGTTTGGCTCTTTCAGACTCACAAATGTGTTCTTTTTAATGGAACAGGGTCAACCGATCCAGCAGCTTTTAGAGTGAACACACGCTGAGGCGATAGGGTCCACTTTTATTCAGCTTCATCTGTCCCTCTTTAAAGCACTCCATTTTGTCGACAAAAACCACATTATCAACCATGATCCCCCCCAAAAAACCCCAAGAATTTTACTACATGTAAGTAAATATACTCTCCATAACGTCTCAGCTGAATTTATCCCAACACAAATTTGCCAATTCCAAACCATAGTTGATTATTTTGCAACAAAACCATGTTGGTGTCCCTTTTGTGTCGAAGTCACATCCACATGTGCCGCAACCAGAGAGCAATCTCGAGTCCTTGTGCGTCTAAATTTTAATCAGAATTGATTTCCTACGTCCTTAAGTCCACGGAACAGAGGCTTACATGTACAGTATGTTAAATAGAGTGGCTAATGCATGCACAACCGCTACACCAGGACACATGACATCAATTTCACTTCATATCTACGATAATGTAGATAAATGCCTGCAAGATAAAGACTTACACATGCATATAAATTTCCTCTCTGGAATTACAAAAGCATGTGACCCAGCTTTTGAAACCAGGAATAAGTCACAAATTGACCTCTTGAGAAATGTACATGTACATTTACATGGTCAGAAAGAGAATTTCATAAGCTTTCCAATGGTACATTGTACATATTACAAGTGTGTTGATGGTAAACTTTCATACATGTACATGTACATGTACGCTTAGAAAATACAACGTATACAGAAATCGCCAAATCAATGTTTTTCAACATTTACCCACATCCCCACTTTACTTGGCCATTACGTCAAATGGCCTCAGCGACTTATTTCTGATTACGATGTACTGGGTCACATGAATGTGGTTGGTACATGTACAAGCACACTGTGCATACATGTAGGTACTTGAGACTAAAAGCTCACTGCTCACTGTCTACATGTATTGATAAAAAATGGCGTTTTGTTTTAATGACCTCAATTTCTTCGGATCTACAGTGTACAATGTTCCACAGGCTGGTTTATACAGCAAAAACATATATTCTCCAAATGTTATGAACATGTACATGAAAGTATGCACATGCATTCATGACACAAATTTATAAAAGTTGGGCACATTTCAAATTGATTGTGGAGGTCAAAGGATCACGTCCCACTTTAGTCAATTACCACGCTTGTTTTTATAAATCAGTTTTAAAATGTTAAGTGGCCAGCTTCCTTATAAGTGGGTACTGGACATCTCACCTTGAACACGGAACGCTTCGAGGCATCAAATTCACGTTTGTATGAGCTTGTGTTTTTTTTCTGCGCCCCGTCTGAAGCTGCCTTTCTAAAGTCGAACATACTGAACACTCTTCCATCAGAGACCCAATACATTACTTTCTTCTGTCCATCATTTGTTTATGTACGCAGAGCTCACGGTTGTTTTGGGGTGTTGTGGTGCACCGTGCTGCAGTTGTATTCATTTCTGTGTTCATATCAGCTTCTGAACTGTTTATTTCTAAAGCGCGATACACGTGTGCAGGACATCCACTTGAAAAAGGGGACGTATTTCCACAACTGAGAAAATATCCAATGACGGATTCCTTGAAATATGGACCGTTAGATAATGTTCAACT